GCTGAGCAGGTAAATGGAATAGATTTGTCATTGTTCTGGCTGAGCAGCCTTCATTAATTTCAAATTGAGATCTCTGAGACTTGCATAAATATTTGACAGTCTCCAAGGAAATGTTGACTAAGCCTCCACACATAGTATCTAAAGAGTTCAACCAAAAAAAAAAAAAGAAAAAGAAAACATCACAAAGCCCTCACACCTACAGCAATTGCCATTTAAAAGTATCTAAATCTGTAATACACAGATGCAAACACAGATTGATATGTGTACAGGCTATAGCAGGCACTAAAATACAACTCCAGATGCAGTATGTTGAGGTGAATTGTCATAATGAAGGTACTTGAAAATAAAATACACCTTTACAGATGCAATATAAAGTGTTAAAATATGAGGAAAAGGGGGAGAGGAAGAGAGAGAACATCTTCTGGACCGTAGTAAAGCAATGGTTTGATATGAACGCTGCAATTTCAAATAATACATCATATTTTTGAAATAGAGCATTAGCTCAAGTGAGGCAAGGTTTGGCTAAGAAAACCGTAACAAAACTAGGGGGATTCATGTGGGGCTGAAGGAGATTTCATTGCAAAAGGTCAGCAGCTCCATTCTAGCTGACTTTCTTAGTAGGAGTCCTTTGAGAAACCTGGGCTGGTTACTTAGAAGGCAGCTGTGACTGATGGATGCCCTAACTGGTACCATATAGGGAGACTTTCACGCTTTGAAAGAAAACAAAGGGAACTGTAGCAGGTGGTGAAAATGGGATTTCTGCATCTTGAAGTTTGTGCTCAGAGTTCAGTGTTGATCCTACTGACGTTTGAACTGCTGCAGAATGTGAAACCAAGCTCAATTTAGCTGGCTGGTTTTGATATCCAATTCTATGTCAGTTTTTCTTATAAACCCAGAAATATTTTTACTCTGTATAATACAAGGAGACATTTACCCGATTTGCCTTAAGTTTGAATTTGCTAGAAGAAGAAAAAAATAATCCGAATTTCCTTAGCGACACATTTCACTCTGAGAATTGCAACGTGACAAATCATATTGCATACTTAGGAGTGGTAAAAGCAGTTATTGATGTGCTGGTGGAAAGGAAATTAGAAGCCTCACGAAAGAAGAATGCAATCTTAAAAGAAAGAAAACTGTTTTGAGTGCACAAATATAGGAATGCGGGAATATGGGCCTGTTACATTCAGAGTGACCACGTGTCTTTGGAGATCAAGAACAGGATCTAAGAGTAATAGGCCGTGACTGATTCTTCTCTTCCAGTTGCACTGGAGAGGAGCAAGAGAGCTTCCATGAGAAAGGAAAGACGTTTGATTTCCTTTTTGAAAGGTCAGGTTAAGAACGTTCAGTTTTCTTTTTTGTGGAGGACGGTATTCATGGGCGGGGTTGGCACTGTTAAGGAACCACCAAAGGAGGCTGGATAGTAGGGCTGTGTTACATGGCGGAGGTGTCTAAAATATCCAGGAGACTTCACAGAGCAAATCACCAGGTCCCATCACTCAGTCTTTCCAGGTACCAGGAGATGGGATTACTATAGCCAAGACACAAAGAGGTCATTGACTAGCCAGAAACTGGAGTTCTTAGATTAAGGAAAACCTTGGTCATTGGCTTGATGGTCTACAAACCTGGGGATTGATCCCTGTTGTCACGCTGTCCTCATTTTCAAGGAAGGTCCTAAAATTTAGGTACCAAAAATCAGAATCTGGTTACTGATATTCTTTCTACCCTGATTTTGCCCTAAAAGAAGTCAGTTGTCTTTGGGAACAATGATGCCTGAGCTGGATTTCCCGCTAGCTGTGGTAGAATTAAGGACTGCTTCCAACACTGGGGATTTTGGAGCAGCAGGAGGGAAATGAAGCTCTCCGTGACACAACCGCAATGGCAGCTGAGTCAGCTCTGGCTCAGCGCTGCAGCATTAACAATCGATGAGTAATTTACAGCTGTGAGGGGGTGGTTCAACTGTTGTGGGCCTTTCGCCTGTTTTAACCTCAAGAGCAATTCTTGATGATGCTGACGCTACGCACGCTCCCTGCTGGGGAAGGGAGTTTAGTATCTCGGTGGGTGTTATCAGCCAGTGGGTTTCCTCCCTTCCTCCTTCAGAGGGATGCTTTCAAGTGTAGCAGCCACGTGACATCGAAATGCACATCATTTCCCTTCATATGTGCCCAGTGGAAAGAAATGGAAGACCAAGCCTGTGGGGTTCACTTCTGGAAAAGACAATTCGGACATGTCAGGCTGTACCTGTTCCCTCTTTAAATATATTACCCAGCAAAGAGATTTCTGGTGGGACCAGCGAGAGCAGTATAGGTGTTGTGAGGGGATGAGTGCTCGTTACTGCAGCAGGTGGGATGACCCAGTCATCTGATTTCCACCACTTGTTTTTAAAGCTGTGTGATCAAGAAGCTGAGACTCCTTCTTTCGATGATATATACAGCTTATTTCCAGCTTAATGGCTGTTCCTGCAGATCAAGCTTAAACCAACTCTTAATTTGCAGGCCGGGAATATATCTTGCTCCTAAGGATCTTGGCCCCCTGACCGCTCTAGCCCACATCTTGTGTAGACCTAGTACAGAAATTAGTAAATGCTGCTTTTAGGTTGTTCACAGAATTTCTGTGAATGGCAAGATGCTGTCACTCTCCCCTCTACTCCCAGTTTTTGAGCCATTCCTCCTCCAGGAATGATTGACACTCATGGATTGCCGCTGTTTTGCTTTGAAGATCTCTGGCTTTGGTGAATGATCATGAACAAAGAGATTTTGATATGTTCAGCTCTGATGCTTACTTCCTGTTTTCCTCCCCTGAATTTCAGAACAACTGTCAAGTGCCCGAGTTTTCACATTTTAAAATTACTATTTCTCAGGAGTGACAGTTCAGTGTTTTCTTAAATTTAAGACTTTTACGGTTTTCTCATTTGCTTATGCAGATTTCTTTGACACCCAGTCTAGTCAGGAATCTGGAAATAATGTTATGAAACTCAGCAGCGTGCACGTTCAGGTACCTTCTTAATGCGTACACTGCCAAAACATCTTCAAGTATCACCGCTCATTTCTGTAGATTATTTACCGCTGTATTGCCTCAGCTCTGCAGTGAGGCGTGGTTTGCAATAGATGGTTTGATCTAAAACCAGTGCGTCGTCGTAATGGGTTGTGGGTTCTGCAGGGCACGCCACATGCCATGACAAAGTCCCAGTCAGAGCCGCGGTGGCACAGCTGCACCACCCTGTGCAGAGCGACACCGGGGATCAAATGCTGAGGGAAACGTACTTGGTCGTCATATTTTCTGATGCTGCAAATGAGTTCCCCAAAGGCATGGGGGAATGTTTAAGTTAAGACAAACAAACCATGAGCTGCTTACTGATGAATGCTGATTATGGTGAGTTTGGCTGCTTCTTTTTATGCATGAGAGCCCAGAATTTCCCTGCTGACATCCGTTCAACTGCTCGGCTAAAATGGTGTTGTTTCATCTCTGTAATGTATGCAAGAAAAAAAATCTTCTCACTTAATAACACTCTTAGCCTTTCATTTGTGGTTTTTGCCTTCCCCAGAGATTGAGACAGTGAAGCTAGCCCGCTTAGTTTTTAGCAAACTGCATGAGATCTGCAGCAACTGGGTGAAAGACTTTCCACTCCAGCCGAAACCCCACCGCTACTACGAGACCTCCATCCATGCCATCAAGAATATGCGCAGGAAGATGGAAGACAAGCACGTCTGCATCCCAGACTTCAACATGCTCTTCAACCTGGAGGTAAAAAGAGATGATGTGGAAGACAAATGCATATGCTAAATACAGTTTCTGTTCTGGGGGAAACTAGGCAGTCTTCCACGGTGAAAAGGAAAGCCCTACCTGTGACGGACCGGAGGAGGACTGGCAGTCAAGAGACAAACCTGGTCTCCAGTCAGTTCAGTTGATTTTCTGTAACCGTAGTGGCAGTATGACACGCGGTTTCTACGTAGGGTATAGAGAATAGAAGAGCAATTTTCACAGACTTCTGGTGGAATGTCGTCTAACTAAGCAAAGTTTGAACCTGGCCCATCCTGATGTAGCCACTCGCGCAGTGGCTGAAGGACTGGCCTGCCCTCGTGCAGAAAGCAGCCCTGCTTTTGCGAGTGGCTTTTGTAGGACCACGTGCTAAACCAAGGTAGGAGCCTCTCTTTGGCTGAAGGCCCAGGCGTAGAAGAGGATTTCCAGTGGAAATGAGGAAGTGGTTCACTTTACAGTTCATCACTGAAGCCAGTTGTCTACAGGGGTGGGTCTATACGGCTTTTCAACCCTTTCT